CGTAGTCATAAACCATGTAAAGAACAAAACAAAACAGTAGTAGAAAGTTTTCTAAGCTACTGCTCGTGATAGGCCGGTAGGCTACTTACAGTACAGTAGGCCTACTGATTTATCACAACAGAGGAATGTCAATAATAATCATCAACTATAGCATTGGTGTTGCTAATGCTAGTTGAAACAAATCGTATTGAAAACAATAAATTATTAGATAAGTCATTGTAAAAGTGTATAATCATAGCCAACTTAAGGATAGTAAAAATACTCGTAAAAGGAATGTTAAAATAGCGATGTTGTTATTCTTTCTCTTTAGTTTTGTTTTTATATTCTTTCTTAGGGTTTTCTTTATCAAAAAAATTGTACAATTCACCATAGTTATCCCATATCGCCCAATCACAGCTTACTAAACATTACGTCGTCATCAGTCCTCAAGAGATGATTGACTTTAACCAAGAAAATCCTCAGTGAATGAAATCAGTTCTCAGTTGCAACTAGCGCGCGCAGAGACAGCAGACAAAGTTGTAAAACGGAGCAGACGAATGTTAGCGCAAGCGATGACGTGACCTTTCCATTTCATTTGATAAAGAAACAGATTTTCCCAAAACAATAATTGGGTGGGGGATTTGTTATATCGAGGGAAAGACGTAGACAATTCGTTATGCAGAGGTTAAATTCGCAATGTGGAGGTTCTGACAATGATAAATTTGTTATATTGAGATGTCTTATTTTAGCCGAAATCACGAAAAATTCGTTAAATCAAGGTCGTTGTTATAGTTTGTTCGTTATGTAGAGGTAAAATATACATTGTGTCTTATGGAGAGTTCTAGGGGATTAAAAAAAATCGTTATATCAAGGAATTCGTTATCTACCTATTCCACTTTACCTATTCCATTTTTGTTTAATTTGTGAGGGATTTTTTGTTGTGGGTGAAGGGGGGGAGGGGCGGCAAATTTTAGTTTGCCCCCACTCAAAAATTGTCTAGATCCGGCCCTGCCTGTGTGTTCATTATAGCTTGATCTAATATGATATTTTTTCTAATTAAAGAACTAACAGAATTGAAATGAGAACCTAAACCGGGACCCAAGTCGTAAGGCGCGTGCGTGAGGTTATTTAAAACTATACACAGCATATATTGCATCCGTATTGTACGTAGATAAAAATAAAGTATCTGATTTATTTCTAGATTGCAACCATTAATATTTAAATAAATATCTATGAACATCTGAATTTGCCCGTCGATCTACGTCATGCTGGCATATTTTCGTTCTACAAGCGAATTGGTCCCAATAACTTAAAAAAGTTAGTAAAATTAATCCACGTGACTCGCTTTTCCCAGAGCGTCATCACGTTGGCGCCTTCCTGTTGCTCTGTTAATATTTGAACTGATAACAAAGTAATTCTCTTATCAGTGGTCTTGCGCGTGCAGGTGCATCTCACAGGTAAGCCGTGGTGCTGAACTTTTACAAGGCACATAGATAAGTGTCCATAGTATGCACATTTTGTTTAGTCGTTCTTGTTCTTGTAACAACAACAAAACCACAAAGAAGGCGTTTTTTTTACGATTGCAGTATTTCATATTAGCATTCTATCGAAAGTCCTTGTCTGATAGAATAAACATTTACCATGTCTAACAGTTACAAGGTAGAGCAAGTTGTATTATAAATGTGGATCTACTTATGTTGCAGTTCACATTGCTTACTCAGTGTATAATAGATTAAACATACGAGGACAGTGAACTCAGCGCAGACACGCTGATTTTGCTGAGGCGAGGAGACATCTCAGATGCGATTCCTGGGATTCTGTCAGCAGGAACGTGGAGTAAAAGTGGTTGGCGCCTGTGCTGCTTGGAAAGTTACACCAGGATTGTTACACCTCTATTGTTTCCGTAAGCTCCATGGAGATTATATGAAGATAAACGTATCGGATAGAGTGCAGACCTAATATACATTATCAACATTCCGAAGCTCGATAAATACTGAAGTGGCAATTCAAACTATCGTCGAAATTTTGTACGTTTTCGTAATTCTAACAGTTTTCACACAGCATCTTAATTTACCCTCATAAACAAATGTGATATTTTGTTTTTCTAAAAATTAGACAATTTTCCCTCGTATCATTTCAAAAGTTACTGTAAATCTTTTAATTTTGTAAAATTTACAACGTGTAGTCTATAATTTTTTGTACGCCACTTTGAGTATCTGGACATACACTGGCTGAAGATTCTCAAAATTGTTTATCTTTGAAGTACGACGCAAATGTCTGACAATTCTATTGTGCATTGATTTTTTGACCACAAAAGCTACCCTTCCTTTTCCCAGTTATTATCGCACCGAACACAAACACTGAGAGTGAAGTTGGTTTACTCAGCGTAATCGCTGAAATGTGGCGATCGAAATTCAAATGCCATTATAATAATTACAAGCATGTCACCATTTTACCCTTTCGATAGGAGCGTACTAAATTAACTGTTGAGATAAATCTGTATGGCTGTATGTGATAACAATTAGAATATCATTAATTTTATTAGCTGGCTCTGAAGTTTCTTTTTTCTTGGATTGTTTATTATCCTTTGAAACTTTCAGAAGGCGGCAATTGTTAATCTTCAATGGGAGGTACAAACAGTTTAGACATCTTAAATAGATAACCAGTCGACTTTACACTTCTGCGTTTGTATGTTAAAATATAATTGCAGTTTCAGGTTTATATATAAAAAAAAAACTCTTAAAGCTTTATGTTTTTAATTCCTAATAGAATGTATATCTAAGACGAGTTTAAAGTAGAATATAGTAACAGTATAAAAATTTAATTACAGTAATTATTTATAATTAGTAGGATGATAAAATTGAGCCTTATTCCATGACTGTCTAAAACAAATTGCTCCTTGTAATTTTAAAAAAATATATAAATTTAAATTGGGAATTTCCAATATTCCGGTTTAAAGCAAACTATTTTCATTGCCACGTGTTACTTCCACGGTAATAGCTAAAACCACATAATAATATAAACTAGAGGTCGTCCAGCGGTCGAAAACTCGACCAAAAATATGTAAATGAAATTAAATGAAAAAATTAAAATTATATGAAATGAAAAATTATATATTTCTTCAGACAAAGTTAGGGCCACATGGCCGTATCTTACACTATGTAATGTACAGTGTAAACCCCTCACTGTAAATAAAACATGTGATAGGAATTTGTTTTGATTTTCTGTTTATATGTTGTTGTTATTTCGTCACCAACATGGCAACCCATAACTCCCATGTTATTTTTTTAAGTTTTCAAATTAATTTTTTGTGCTTATTTTTGAGCCTATTTTAATTTATAAAGGGATTCTGCACATCTACAGGAAAATATCTTTCCAACAGTATGCGTAGATTTTCCCTGCGATGCACACGAGCTGAGAAAAAAGGTTTTAAAGAAACATGCTTGCCTATTAATATATAGATAGGTTGTACTTCAAACTCGAAAAAATATATATTGTTTAAAATTAACTTGCTTAAAATGTTAATGATACTAGTTATATTTGGTTCATTTATTCCATTTCGTTATTATATTTTTGGGGATTTTGTTTCAATGACTAAATAAAATAACGTCTCCAATTGAATGCCTTAAGACTATATGAGGGAGTTTGTTCTACAAAAATGCAAAGGAACAAAGGTTTGTACAAAGCGATGATTTGATAGTCACAGTATATCGCAAACCAACTTTATGTTGAAGGCTATACTTCTAGAAGCGTTCTGGGATTCACACAAGCAGAGGTCCTTTTTGGTTGCATGCTCCTGAGTTGACATTACCCCACTGCACACCTCAGTGAATGTCTTAAGCTCAAATACTAACTCTAATAGTTTCCTATTTTGGAAAAGTTTGAATTTAGACAAACACCTACGGTAGATCATTGCCCTTAGCTAGACCAGCAGTACTCAAATAGACTAATGGGTTTTTATATTGCTCCTAGAGTGAGTGGAGCAATGCCTAGCTCAATTTGGCATCCTTCACTCTTCAACAGTAAGATTATGCTGTATTCTAAGTAGGTAGATTGATATGAAAGGTTAGACTACAATGAATGAGTGCTATGTAAATACTCAAGTGACTCGTCAAACGTTAATATTATAGTGCCGCAATACAATTGTGATTTAAGTATGAGCATAGACACTAGGCAAAGGTTATGTGTACAACATTTGCGTTTATTTATTTCCAACGACCAAAGCAACTAAAAATATATTCAGCGGGCACAAGCAAAGTTTTTAAGTACATACTAAAAAGGTAGTGATGATTGTCTCACGTAAATATGTCGGTAATTTCCATAAAACATAAAAAATTAACAATTGAAATGACTTAATTATGATTAATTAAATTAATCAATTAAAAAATTTATCAACGTATGTGCCGATTAATAAAGGCATTGCTATTATATGCCATGTTTACGTTATAATAACGGGATACAAACGATTAGTTGAAATGTCATTAAATCAGTACAAATTAATTTATTAACTTCTTAATATTTTGTTAGTCCGCTAATCTATACAAACATGACCAATAGATCGCATTTAGGAAGGAATGTCCGATTAAAATTTACGATTTCTCCAAACATCTTGTTAATTCGAAATTTACATTTAATTCAAAACCACTTTAGTTTTGGGTCGATCATGGTATATCGTAAAATGATGAATTTACATTATTTATGATTTAGGTAATTACTATTGATTACTTCAAAAAATGTTTACAAATTAGCTGTTAACTTATAAGTCACTTACTCGTTTAACCAACCTAAATGAGAATACATGCCAACATTTTACGATGCTAAAATAATTATTTAGGGAATTAATTACTTTCAATGGGGGATTTTTAGAGTATCTAGGACATGTCGGTTGTCTCTGATTGACAGGAAGTGTGTTGAGATTCCGCCACCGCCACCAGGGGCGCTGCGTCATTCTCGGGTAGTGTGAAGTGTGAGATGGCAGACGAGGAGTCAGTCGTCCCGCGCGTTCGCGCTCGCTCTCCCGCCAGAACTGTGCGCTGCGCTCCGTCCTACCTCGTCAACGACTAACTTTACGCGTAGTTGAACTAATTAATTCAGCTATTTATAATGTAATGATACGATTCAATTTATTTGACTTATTAATTATGTGAACTTTTAAAATATTAAACGGTTAAAAATATCTTAAAATAACCTTAAAAATTAAAAACATGACAGTATTGTGTCGCCAGTGGTGAGATGGTGGTAGTGACTGGACGGTGGTGGTTCACTTTAGTGGTTGTGGTGTTGTCTGTGGTGAACTGTGACACCAAGATGTTCAACTTCATCGGCCGGGAGACTCTCAGTGACGGCGAGACAGAGACTCTGGTACATTACGATGGTCTCACAGCCAAGGAGACGTCCGTGGTCGCACGAGGAGGCAATCATACGTAAGAGGACAACAAATTACATTTGTATATTTGTTCCAAATAGCTTTATGTTACATTAGAAAAGTTGTAAAACGTTTAGTTTTATAACATAGTTATTGTCAAATTTTTAGTAAAATGCAGTTTAAAAACCTGTACGATTTTGTTAAGATAGTTAATTTTAAATTTTATTATAGCATATTATACATATTAAAACGAGCGATACATTTTAAATTTATAAATTGATCAAAGTGACTTAAACATTGACTTTTCAAACTAATATTCTATTCTATCTATAAACAAATGTGTTGTATAATTTAGTACCTTTTCAACACAGTAACACATTAGTGAAGTGTTAATCTGATGTTCAATGCATATGCATTTGTTTCTCATATTAAAATTAATTATATGTGCATGTTCGTGAAACTCTCATAGTACCCAGAGATCGAGAGATAAGAGATGCAGACCTACCTTAAGCAGTAGGGCATGTTGTAGTAATGTTTTATCTTAAACAAGGTTAGTAACCGTAGAAATATGATTAAACATACAAGATCTTTGCAACATTTAAGAATTATAATGTTTATGGTCTTAGCATTTCCTTGCTGAAACTTTAAAACTGTGGTAATAGCCTAATAATATTTACATCGTTACAATGAATACAATACAGTGAATCAAAACCCAGCAAATAACAGAGAATAGTTAGGTTTCTTTACACAAGACTTTCAGTATCTACTTGAGGAAGTATTGTAGTACTATGAAACCTTAGCAAAGTTTCATTACTGAACAAAATGTTTAACACCCATTTAGTGAGGAGAAACTAAGATTCAAACAAAAAATATTGTTTTGGAAAGCTTTTTACACAGCCTGGGATATATCCTGTTTCTTACAAAAAACTCTTACATGTTTTAACTACAAAAGTCGTTTACACTCCCGTACATTTAGTTATAAGCATATTGCATGGCAATGAAGTCGAACTTTAAATACCGGTAGTGTGTAAAGACCATAGAAAATCCAAACTAGCTATAAGCCTTTTATGCTAAAAGTAAGATGATAATAATGATAACTTAGGGCACTACAAACATTCCAAATGAAATGTGTGTTTATTAGAAAACTACGCGGTGACACGCTGTCATGGTAAAATGTTTAAAGGGTCGCAATTTGTTCAACCACAACCAGTTCCTGCTGTTGAGTTGCTCAGTCATAAATATTATTTCGCTACGCTCCATTGCCAGAGATTTTATTTGTGCTAAATGAGCTGTCATATAAAAATATCTGTGTAACGAGAATAAAAACTAGGGACGAATAATAGGCAATTATACAAGTCAAGTTTACTGTATATTTGATTTTAGAGCAATTTTAATTTTCTGTAAAGCCATTGTTGGTCAACAAACTCCAAGGTCTAAGTAATCAAGTTTGGACGTACTTTGGTAAGATTTAATTTGTAACATTAGTATGGGGTCCATCGCTCTGTTTTCCTTCAGTTATACTATCACCAAATAAATAGTAGGCAGAGTATAGTGACAGTGTTGAGAGTGTGTATATTGACATTGTTAAAGACTTACTCTTTCAATACTAGAAGCTTTTAATCGTAAACAACTAAAATGTCTTGCAACGGCAAGGTGTCTACGTGTACGGTGTCTGCAGAAAATCCTACTCACTATAAACCTAAATCTGATTTAAACATTTCGTGTCAACTCTCAGAACGTTAAGTAATTCAATAAAATAATGGTTTACAAAACAAACCAACGATTACAACGATTATACAACATCAGTTATATAGTATACCTGTAAATTCCATAGCAATCTATTTCTAGGTCAATTAGTGGGACACAATGGGGAATAGCTGTCAGTGAAAGAATCTGGAAATTTGGCAAATGTAAAAATAGACTCGATTACACAACCTGTGTCGTTTATGTAATTAAGTAATTAATTATATAACTTTTGGTTTACGTTGTTGTGTTTTTAGTTACCGACTAAGTTATTTGGTTCAAAATTACGCAAGGTCAGAATGAAACTAAATACATAATGCCAAAATATGAAGTGGTAATAAATAATCATTTCTTAAAACTTACATAAGTTTACTCTTAAAAATGTACACGAAGGATAATTATTTTTACACGCAAATTTACGAACCTTATTTACTATATTTTATATTATTTTTATATTATATAATAACTCTTCAGCGGCCGTTTTAAATTAACATTGCTCTTAATGTGGGCAAATCCAAGAGCCGTCTTGGATACCCTTGGAAAACAATTACAAACCACAAAGAACATCAACTGATCCTACGGTGCCCTAGGTATTTTATTTAACTTTTAATCATTGGTATTTGAAAATCTTTTTGGACGATAAATAATTTTTTCACCAGCTGTTTAAAATTCATCCAATATGGTCGCTAGCCTGCAAGGACTCTAAATATAATAAAATAATGAAATAATATAATATAATGAATAATATCATATTATATAATAAATAATATCATATTATATAATGAAATAATGCTGATATAGATAAAACCAAATTGAGAATGGCTGCTTTATCTACACACTAGAATAAAAAAATTGTACTTAGTATTTAAATATGGTTTCTGCACGTTTAGGTATTAATGTGAAATATTGTTTATTTATAAAATGTAAAAGAAATAACATGCCATAAAATTAAAAACCCATGCTTTGGAATAAGCCTACTTAATTTAAAATCTCTTACTAATTTATGATGTTTTATCAAACTAGTGATTTGTTGAACGTTGAACGAATTACGTAAATATTTTTACACTTACGAATTATTGTCAGAGTATTTAGAGTACGTCAAATGGACCAAAATATAATAAAATAAATCAAATTGGCGTGCTTTTATTGAGTGTCCTCCGCGACACAACCACTGCCACGTTAGGTTTGTCCACGGAAGGCGTACTTTGAAATATATTGGTTACCCGTTACCTACTTGCTCTTTAACTGAAAGCAACCATTACTTCTGAATTTGGTTCATATTTTTAATCTATAAATATTGTTGTGTCATTCACAAAAGCCGCACAAATAATTAAGTTGGAATATTTCACATTAAATCATCCAATTCCATTTTGCAAAGCAGAAACATCTTTGAAGGTCATAATAATTTCTACTTAAAAGTTATTTTAACAGGTTAAGTAGGCACAGTAAATTTAGACCACGCTAAAGAAGTAAAACATTTCAACAGTGTTTTTTAATTATTATTTGGGCACTTGTTTTTAATCTCGGTGAAGCAACTGAACAAAGGAGGTTACGTCGAAGGCTTCCCCATGATCTAATGAATGAAGTCTAAAGAATATATTTATCTTTATCTAAATTAGTTATGTTACAGGGTGTCTCAGGTCTGAGCAAACCCGCGATGTTATTATTGGCATTTTCTCATTCATATTTTGCTAAAAGTTCTGTACATAATGTCCTCATTAAACAAGAAATAAAGGATCTAAAAAAATATATACGATTGTGTGTCGTGTGTAGGTCCTCATTGAAGCTACGTCAGCTGACGGACGGTGATCACCTGATCCAGCTGATATACAGCGGCCAGGGAGAGCTGCAAGACTGTGAGTACCTGAGGCAGGACGCGGCTGTGAGGCAGTTCCAGGAGAACGTGAGGCAGACTGTGGAGGCCCGGGGGAACGTGCGCTCGCTGGACGGTCGTCGTCTACCCCCGGAGTTGGCGGAGTGGATGGACTACGCGCTGCTGAAGAAGCAATGTCACAGACATCACCGTCGTCTGAGGAGACTGGCTCGTCGGAGAGTCAAGGGAGGGAAGTTGCAGAGAGCGCGTGCCGACAGGGATATCCAGAGGTAAACATACTATGAACTCTTTTCAGAGTAACCATAGATCTTTTCCTAAATAGTAGGTAATCAAAAGCCATAAATCATCAGCGATCTATGATTTCCCACTGATCTCCTCAGTGAGTAACACTATGTCTGTGGTAGTGCAGGCGGAAGCGCGACCTGACTGATCTGATGAGGGTGCCGGGTACCAAGTGGTGCGGCAAGGGCTACTCCGCCACCAAGTACCACCAGCTGGGAGGGTTCGGTGCGGCGGACAAGTGTTGTCGCGTGCACGACACGGCTTGTCCCTTCTACATTCCCGCCTTCGAGGAGAAGTACGGCCTCTTCAACTGGAGGATCAACACGCTCATGCACTGCAAGTGTGACAGAAGGTCAGAACACTTTTATAAAATCAATAGCCTACATACAAGTTTGAGAGGGTGATGGTCTCTCATATTACATGGCGATTTGCATGGCTATTGACTGGGCAAACATTGAATTTATCTGTTGGGTCTGATGATTATAAGCTTAAACAATGGTGGCTTGATTTTCATAGACCACCATTCACGTACTATTTAAGAAAACCTTATATATCACGTTCGTTCCATCCGTTCCATCTCGTAAAATAACGTATTTCTCCTGTATTCAAGCTGTTATTTTGTATTTTAAATAAGGAATTCCCTCTTCATTAGAAATAAATAAATAGTACACTCTCCGCCGTATTATAATACAATATCACACATTTTTTGGTATTTACAAGGGCCTTGTATAACCTTTTTCCAGTCTCTAGTCACGATGCACTTCTTGTAATTTGATACGACGTACATCAACTAAAATGAAGTGTTGTTTTTTACCATTTGGATTAACCCACGAATAGTTTCGTATATTGTTAAGACTTATTACATGTTAGCAATGAGTCAGGAAATAGTTATTTGTGCAACTAGTGAGCAAAGGGAGCAATTGACTCACTCGAGAGAAATACTTACTCACGAGCCGTATGCGAGTGAGGAATGGTTTCTCGAGTGAGGCAATTGCACTTTGCATTCGAGTTGCACATTATATTTTTCCTACGGTTACCATAAAACAAATAAATTGGTAAAGAAACGTTACATATTTTTACACAGAAGTGAACTTTTAATATGACATTTAATGTGAAGTAACAAATACAACAATACAACAGCTGACCAGCTGATTTACAGCAAGTGCTGCCAACGTATTTCGCACGCATACGACCTTGTCTGCATGTTACGCGCTCACTATTTCGTGCATTCACGTTGCAAATCTGGAGTGAGACAAAGTAATTAGAGTGAGACAATGTTAACATTGTCTCACTGATGAGCGAATTGGCCACTTTGCTTTTTCAAATCAGTGAGAGAACATGTACATTGTTAGGTAACTGTAGGAAAACAAATTAGTGTTTTAAACTAACCCAAAAGCCGTCTTTATTTTCATATCTTTTTCCCCATTAAAGAAGAAGCTGTGAATGTATTTTTTTATCTCAATGCAAAATTCTGGTTTTCCACGCCAGATCTGTGGTCAACAAACACCAAATATCAAAACAATTCAACCGCATTACGTAGCGCAGTAGCCGCTGAAATCCTATATCCGAGGTTAACCTAATTAACACTTTGGCTCGATTGACGATTCAGTTTTAGCAGCTTTCGACAATTCTACTCATAAATTGAATTAATTGTTCTGTTATGAATAAAGAACAGCAAGTTTCTGTCCATACCTATTGACACATAATAATGCTGGACTGTCTCCAGACAACCCAGCATAATTATTAGATCTTGAAGTTTTATGTTTTGATTGGGAAACATTTTATGAGCGCGGCCTCAGTAGAGAACACAATGCTCATAGCGAAATTAAATCGAGTCATTAAATCGAGTGGCTTTGGTAATCTGCATGTTGGTCGCATTGTTACAAGTTGAATAAAAGTTAATGGTGTTTTGTAGTATTGGAGTTTTGGCTTTCATCTTTACTCTGTAAATCTAAAATCTCTTTACTAAAACTTATCAGCTTATCAAGCCTCACATTTGGCCACTAATTTCTTCATTTCATTTTTTAGTTCGGCACTTTGTATTTCTCGAACTGGGTTTTAAGGTGCTGTGTTCCAATACACGATGTATTACATATCAAAGATCAAAGTGTAAAACCAGAAATTATATACTGACCAAACGATAATGACATTTTTGAACACAAACATTACGAACAACGAAAAATGTTTTTAGAGCTTAAATGACAGTAACTTTTGGCTTGAAAACAAATATTGGACGTTATTCATGCCTTACCTACGATTATAAATTCGAAAGTAAATAAATATCTGACGTAAAGGTTATCAGCCTCAGTGTATCATTGTGTGTGAAACTGTGTTTCTCCAACCGCAAAAGGTAATGATAAGAAGATGATATAGAGACCTCTGTGAGGTTTGGCACACGCACCCCCTAACCGCACACACTCACCCCACTTACACAAACACGTGTTTATAAATCCTTCGGAGAAACATATGTATGAATCCTTAACACCTGCGTGAACAGCCTTTATTGAAGGTCATTGACAAGCTGTCGACAAAATGTCTCGACGTGTCCGCAAGTGATACTTCGATCGCATGATTACGAATAAACCGATCTAAAAAGTTGCAATAAACGAGTTTGGGAGGTATACAAAATTATGAGTTTTAGTGCAATTACATTTTAAATAAAACTACTTTATACATTGTTCGTATAATAAAGGTCATGTGAAGGCACAAGGTAGTACTAAAGGAGGTTTTTTTGCGATTCTACAATTTAACAGGAAACTAAAACACGTTTGTCATGTACTTTTTTAAACCATACTCATATAACTAAATTTAAATATTATATTTGTTAACATAAAATACCCCTGCCACAGCAGACTAAGTGAATTTCCATGTACTTAAATGGATTTTCACTTAAATGTTTCCTTATGTCTGACAGCTTTATTTACTATTTAAATAACATTAGGTTTGATGTGTACTTGGGCTTGCTGCTACAGGGAGGCTAATTAAGTGTGTTTTTTTAGTAAAACGTTAATAACGAACTATAAAATTAACAAATTCGCCAAGTTTGATCAAAATACAACAAACAAGAAAACTACAATAGTTTACTTATTCCTCATAAGAATAACATATCAATTTAAATTTTAAATTTTGTTTTCAATTTTCTCCTTAACCAACGACAGTATTTAGAAAACCTAAAAAGTACTTATTTGTTTTGCTTCTATACAATGGTCTGGATAGAAAATAGGAAATTCCATGTTTTGAGGGTCAAAAATTAGAAACGCCAATTTTAGCCCATAGATAAACCCCGTTCCCATAGTCCAATAATGCTGGCTTGTGAACTCGTTACAAAAACCTAGATTTACACGTTAATTACATTACATGAAAAAAAAAAACATTGAAAAAAAAAAATTACATTGAAATGTAATCGTGCTAACGGACACATATATAACAAATATATACATTTCAACTAAACGAATGACGTTTTGGCATTCTGGGGAGAAAGAAAATCGGTCCAGGTCTAACTAAGTCTTTTCGTCTACGGTAATAAAGTGTATTGTTTGTATGGAGAATTCGCCAAAACTCGTAAAAATCAAACAATAAAAATATCAGCACCTACAAACATAAAACTGATATAGCAATAAACAATTTGTTTATATATCTTTGAGCAAAATAAAACATAATGTTATATGTGTGTCTCATTCTTTTCTTTCAATGCATTACCTTATTGACTATCAACCAGAAATTAATACACTTCTTTCTAAAAAAAAAATAAATCGTCTCACTTACCAAAACCTCTTGGCGAAACATTTTCAACCGGAACGTTGCAAAATCGAGCTGGAAGTGTTGAAGACCTGTTTAGTTTAGACAAGAGGTTTGAAGTGTCCCGAGAGTGAAGTGGTGGCTGTGTGAGTGAGACAGTATAAACATACACTACTCTGACTCACCATCAGATTCACACACGATCTTTTACTTCTCCATCGGCAAATGGTGAACTCGGCAAATATAATTATAAAGTGTATTACTCAGTTGTTTATTGATATTTCAAGGATTGGTTCTAGTTCAAAAAAGACAAAAGTTAACATAATAATATGATATTCAAATTCGTATTCGTTCCGTACCGTGATGACCGTTGCTGGTAAAGGAGAGTGATGTTTGGATCAGAATTTATTCGAAATACGTTTAAAAACTTCTCGAAACAAATATTTTGGCATCTTTTAACCTTTAAGTTTTCCGTCTACAAATCAAGCATCACAAAAAGTAAAACAAGAAAAGTGATGCAGTAAAAGCACAATTTGCACTAATACGCCTAAATGATTGCACCGGATCACTTCCTCAGTTCACGCTAAACAAAACTCAGATAAACCAGTATAACTGAAATAAAAGTAAATAATGTTAAGTTTACATTGTGTTAAGGTTCTCTAGTTATCCTCTTTTCTACTTGAAATGCAACTGGTGATCTAGACTTTACCGTTGCAGGTTCCGGACATGTCTGAAGATGGCAGACACGGGCCCCGCCAACCTGGTTGGTAAACTCTTCTTCAACATCGTCCAGACGAAGTGCTTCGTACTCAAGCCTGAGAAGGTCTGCGCCAAGTGGTCGTGGTGGGGAAAATGTAAGTTGAAATCAAATGTTTAATTAAAAAGTTTTGAAACGTGTAGGCCTACTCAGTCTTTAGAATGAAATACAAAATAAATTAAATAAGGGGGTGGGTATGAATTTGAAACGTTTAAAAATAAATAGACATTGGTAGTTTAGGCATAACTATGACTAATGTATTCAAATCTTAATTTTAGAAAGCTTAAAGATAAAGTCATTTATATAATTAAACATTAGGATTATTTATTTAGAGCTAAAAATGTAAGCTATTATAGCTGTTAGCAGCCAATATGTTGAAAGGATGAAAATTTCTATAACTGCTGGCCATTCAATTACAATTTGTATCACGATATTTTTATTTTGTTTTAGGCAAGAAAATGACTATGAAGAAGAGGGCGCATATACGTGACAACAAGCCCTATTGAAGTCGAAGCAATATTCATTTGTTACTTTAGAAACCATATTGTACATAAAGTATTACGAAAACCTTTAAATCAACATTCAATTGAATATCGGGTTTATGAGAAACTCATGATTGTGGATACATACATAATACATAATATTTTATTAACATTTGAAAAAATATTGCAAGTGAGAATCGATCACAATATTAATTTGTTAAAAATTAGATGCATTGAATTTGCGAACCTAAAGAAATATTTATCACAGATAAAGCTTCTTTTAGTGTCTATTGTGTCCAATTAGAATCACAAAATGTTTTCCGCACGGAGTTAAATACCAATATTTGAAGTCGAATAATAAATTTATACTTTTTATAAATAACATTGTACTAAAGTGTAAGATCACGTGGTATTCAATCTATAATATACAGAGCACTATATTAATAATTCCTAGCTTTTATAAACGTTATTTAAATGTAACTGTTTCCCTGGTCCAACTTATATTTCTCGTTACTATTACAGTTTTTTAGTTTATTATTTCACCATAGTAATACTTCTTAAAGGGAGTTAATATTCCATTGACTATTGAATACTGAAGTTGTATTAATAGTCAAAGGTATTACAAAAAAATGCTATTCCTTTGAAATGAATCTAGCAAATATTGTAAAAATGTACTTAAATGTATATAGTATAGTAGATATTAAATTGGAAATGATGCGAGAACATCGTTCGTTTGTAGATATTTTGTTGATATTCGAATTTTGTAAATATAAATTAACTGTCCTGAGTTTAATTTGTAATTCCCGTACCCTCATATCGCAATTCCCTCTTCCTCACATACCAAAGGTAAGTAATCAATTAAGAAGATCTTAACAAATATTTATTTATACTAGAAATATCTATTCAGTTGGAATTTTGTGCTGATATACAGTAATCACCCAACGCCCATGTGGTTGGTCTACCAGGGGCTCTACAGTCTAGAGTCTACAACACAGGTATAAACTGCACAGCTGTCTCCCAGTCTGTCTGTTCCCCATTCATCGTCCCAATAATGTTTGGGCACCCACATTCGATACGCTCCATTCCTCAAAAAAAACCCGCCCCAATGGTGGCAAACGGAGGTGCATTGGAATCAAGTTCAACACAGCAGGGTGACTCACGACTGTTCTGGGAATTATTATTGCATTATGGGATTGCTAAACCTTGACAAGCAATATATTGCTCAGCCTCTACAAACTGCTACAATTACATTAACATTACGAAACATGGTGAACCACACTTGTCCTAAAGAGTTCTGAAACGGGTTTGTGAGAATTTTAAATTGCTTTTAACACTGTTATTTCACAAATAAGACAGACATTATTCACATTTGTTATTATTTACAATGTAGTAAATTGCATTGTGGTCATCATTATTTTTTAGTAAAATAAAAATCTTATAATTAATGAACTAAATAGTTAAAGTGAATATTCAATTATCATCGATCCGGTATTATATATTGAAATAAGCTTTCTGGAGTCAATGATAGTTGTTTAAAATGTAAATAGAAAATGAATTTAAAATACTAATTTTATAAAATACGTTGCATTAAAACACTAGCGATCCCAGAGTGAAGAAATGCATTTGTAGGTGCAACAGTTCTTTATATAATATCTTAATTAGAAACAGCACGGTAGATTATTCACGTAAGGGTGTAATGTACAAAATGCAAGTTATTTACTTGGATAAAGCACGACAGTCTCTGAGGCGAATTAGTTAGAAACACGGTATGCTTTGTTTTTTAATTAGATTGGGGGGGATTAGTAAAACCATCAACTTTAGCTGACATATTTATTTTTGATAACCTAACGCACCTTTCACCAACATCAATAGAAACTGGTAAAGCCCCAACAATCGTAGGTTAAGCCAAAGTGATTCATCATTGAATAAGTTCCAAGAAACTGTCAGCTCAAGTTGTCACTTTCTCTAAGCTTCTGAGTGGAATTGGCAGTGAATCGAGTGAATATTAATCTTCATACGGATAAACTATAAAACAAGGAGTATTTATGACATGGCATGTTAGTTAAAAGTTGCACTTTTCGGATTGTGGAACTCAGTATATACAAATGAATATATTTCGAGCAACGAAGAAACCTATCCACTCCACTTTTTCTTACCTTTAAAATAATAGCTTAACATCTGAGGTTTGCCAAAACGTCAATCACCTGTAACATATAGTCAACACATATACAGTATACATTAAGCAAAACAAGCAGTGGGGAAACTTCCCGAACCGTCTAAATTTTGTGAACGGACTTTAGTAGGTTGTACCATAGACTAACCAACACAAGGGAGAATGTTATATCTATGGTTGTACTGGAAATTTTCATCACCACAACTGATACACAGTTTTAATCAAACTACCGTATGAAAATAATAAATAGGTACATATATTAGACAAGTTTTAGAGGTACATATATTAAGTCAATGAGGTGAGTAAATTAAGCATTGAGGACACTAACTGTCAAAAGTTTGTCTTAAACTCAACCCGTATAGTTAAGGTCATTTTAATTTCCCTCTAAGATTATCAGCTACAAACCGTTGAGTACATTAAATCAGTCTTTCCTTACAGCGCAGAACCAACACGAAATGGTTAATTCAACTGTGTTTAGCTGGATTTGAACTGGTAAGTTGAGGTAGAGTACAACTACTTGATTAAATGTAGTATCTCATCAGTGAACCTATATTATTTCAGCTGTATAAATCAATAGTAGCTATACATCAGCATGTATATATTTTATTTAATCGATCAGCAAACTTAGGCTACTCTCTCCATGTGTGGTACATACAGCACATTCAACACACTGTACTGAAGTGAAGTGATCATCAGCAACGCAGGTCTGAGATTGGTACGGTCAATGGTTGGATACAGACTGTCTTGTTGGCGTGTCTCTGTGTGTGTGTGTGTGTGGTCCACCGGCTGTGTGAGATGAGTGATCTGTTTACAAATTACAAGTACTACAATTGTGCAAAATTGACCGAAGGCAATAAAATATTGTTCCTGTTACTGTGTGAAAATTTAGGTACTAATTATTAGCAATGTGTGGCTTTCGTCTACAAACAGAAACACATTATTTTTTTTAAATTGTCTGGGTAGCCGAGTGGTTAAAGTACTCACCTTCAGATCTAAAAGAGTCACTGGTTCGGTTCAAATCTAGATCCTATTTGTCATTGGGCTGTTAATCAATGATACTTTATAACAACTTTGACTTTAAACTGTAACGAGACCAGGATTTGGATTGTCCCCTTACGACAACGTTGAACATTCAATTGGCGTTAAGAAAAGGGCAACAACTTGGTTTTGATTTACGATAATCTTTGATACTGGGAATTTTACGACGGATCATTTTAATTGTATTCTGATGAATCTTCAAACAGGAAGTGAAACAGAATGATGCTAAAGTTGTCTCGGTAAGTGAATAAAGAACAAACTGTTAAGTGGCTCTGATCATTGAGAATCTTTGTAAAAAGTTACATCCAAACACGATTTGTAAGACAAAAATTGGACTGTATTTTCCAGTTACAATAATGTTCAAACGATAAGTCGATTAAATTTAAAAAAGAAAAGTTTTAGCAACAAGCAACTTAATGTAACTACAGTGTATAAGATTAACAGTGAGGCGATGTAACTGTTAACCAGAATGTTGTGTAAAAGGTATTAAATTATTCTAAATTAAACTCCTGGGTGTCCTGATATCGTGTCAATTAGGTATTTATAGGTCTGGTTAATTAATCTACTTTTACAAATACAACCTGGCTGATACCGGTCTACTTGTCTACCAATCCACCAGTAGTTCCCTACCAAGTATGGCTGGACATTTGCATTTTGATAACCTCGGCAAGTATTGCAGACTGCAGAGAGGTCAAATGCAACGTTACTTTGTAATAGATTTTAGATTATTAAATACACTAATGACCAATAAAATCACTCCCCTGAAGTATGCTACTTCAGAAAATGGCTGAGATATAAAAAGATACATATTGTTCTTTAGCTATTTGATCAAACTTGGGAGAATTAAGTATGTGTATATTTCATTGAGAAAATTCTCTAAGGTTTAGCACATCTTATCATATTTTTTGATCGAATATTTATAAAGATTTATAGAGTGATATTGTTTACAATCTTATTTACGTTGGAATATTTTTATCCGCAGTAAGTAATGTTCAATACAATTTTTACTATATACGCCTTTTTTGTGTACGATTACAATTCCTTTAACTGCAGAGTCATTCTGTCTTTAATACATTTTTTTAATATATTTTTTACAAGTATACATGTATATAAATTTAAATTTTTAATTGGCAAGGAATCACCAAGGTTTTGGCAACCATAATGAACTGTGATTGGTGACTTAATGCAATAAATAGTATTATTATTGTAATACTTGCCTCATATCGTTAGGAAACATAAATTTAACCCACACTCTCCTTACAACAATACCTCATAACAATGAGCTTAATTAACATAACTGGCAGTTGTTAAACGTAATAAGCTTGTTGGGATTAGTTCAGCCTTTTATCTTATAATAATTCAACGTCTTTTTAAGATACATTAAAGTTTTATATATTTTTAGATGCTACATAAAAAAAATATAAAACTTCAATCGGTTTAGATAAAACTTCTACAGAAAAGTTTTAATTGGTGTAAAAACTATGCATTCGTTAACCAGATAATGAAATGGAAAGATTCTCTTAAAATTACATTTCCTCTACTACTATTTTAACCTGAAGACAGACCTTTAATTTTGAGCCAATAGGACACATAATTGATGGACTCTTCACGCATGCTTAAGTAATCTTCTTACATTTCTGTATTGTAGACTACGTGTTTAGTAAATAATACCTATTAACCTCTAAGTTTAGATGTTGGTAATATTGACAACAACTGATCAAATCACTTACTGTTTGTGCCCATGAGTATCTTCTTTGGTTATTCTCACCAGAGAGCTACATATTGTAGATCCCCTGGAGTTTTATGTAAACAAGCTGTCAACATTTAAGCTCATCTGGCAGATATGTACTAGGGGGGTAGAACAATAACTAATCCACGGGTCACAAAGCTAACGTCGTCTAATTACAACAAATCATTATGCAATATAAACGTGTGGAATGTGATATTATGTTCCAAAACTAAATCTTTTATTTTTGAACGGGTATTTTTTTTATATTGAAATACATGTTAAATAATTTACATCGCCAATCAAATCTTTATTACTCCAGAAGCCTTTGATCGCGTCGCATAGATGACGTAGCAAGTAACAACGCATCCTTCGTTGTTAGTGTTTTGCTCTCACCCTGAACTTTGAATTGATCCAGTAGGACTTGGTCACTTGTCGATCGTTACTTGCTCTGTTTAATTTGTTTGGTGCAAGCATTATTTTTCAAGCAATAAACTACAAGAATTAACGGTTGGGACCAAAGGCATTCCTCAGACATTTACCACTTCTCTTCATGTTGGCCGCCATTTTATGTTACGGAACATGTTAGGAGAGCGCCGTAAACGTTGCTCTGGGTGTAAAACTGTTTATTGACCATCGAACACTTCAAAACCTCAGCAAATAAACCTGATGACTTACTTCTGGCGTTGTGACCTTTTAAATATCGTACATTCTACAAGATAAGCTCTTCTTATGAATATCATTTCTCTTGAGCGAAAATTACAAAAAAACAGAGCAATTTTAATAATTTTATATAAGTTGGTAATGGAAATGTCGATACTTCTCAATTATATTGGGGATTT